GTATCGATTGTATTTGATATAGATTCAAGGTTCACATTGAATTTTTGAAAAGATTTGCATGAGATAATGGGTACTCGCTGAATTTTAGTATTGTTTTTCACCTTTAGAGTGATGGATAGTCGGAGAGAGTGATACAAGTACTAGAAAACGTGTTAAGAGCTTATGTACTTGATTGGTAAGGTAAATTAGAAAAATATCTATCACTCGTAGAATTTACCTATAATAATAATTACCGGGGAAGTATAAGAATATTGCCTTATAAGGCATTGTATGGGAGGAGGTGTAGATCACTAATTCATTGGGATGAGGTAGGTGAAAGGAAATTGTTAGGATCTGGAGATATTTTGTTTTGAGGTGATAAAGAAGATAAAGCTAAGAATGAAAACGACTCGAGTAGGTAAAAAAATTATGCCGATCGAAGAGAAAAGATTTAGAGTTTGAAGTGGGTGATAATGTTTTTCTTAAGGTAGCACCGATGAAGGGGTGATGCGATTTGGGAATAAGGAAAAATTGGTTCCTAGATACATTGGACCTTATGGGATTCTCGATAGGGCGGGTAATCGAGTATACGGACTAGCTCTCCCTTCATCTCTCGTCAAGAGTCATAACGTCTTCCATATATCGATGTTAAAAAAATATACGATTGACCTAAATTATGTATTAATGATAGAACGATGGAGTTAACTCCGGATTTGACATATGAAAAGAGATTGGTACGGATATTAGATCGAGAGGTAAAGAAGATAAGAAACAGGGAAGTGGTATAACGTAAGTGTTGTTGAGAAATCACAAGATTGGAGAGGCCACATGGGAATAAGAATAAGATATGAATGCAAGATATCCCGAATTGTATGATACATAAATTTTGAGGACAAAATTTTTATAAAGAGGAAGGGTTGTAATGCCTAAAAACTTTAAATGATAATATGTTATGTGTATATATATGCAAATGTGCTTTATTTATGTATGCGAGTTTAATATTTTTTTATGTGTTTAGATGATATGATAACTAAGTATAGAGTTTTAGGATATAATATATATTTTTGGGTATTATAGATATTTTTTTATAGATAGAAACTAGTCCTACAATCTTAGCCTAAGCTATTAGGAATTAAAGAATTAAAACAGATGATAATAATTAATAAATAATAATGAAACAATAATAAGTTTTAATAGTTTTTAAATGGAATGTTAGTGGCTATGAAAGAAGAGCAAAGGTTTTGAAATATATATTAAAATTAAAGAGAAGACATGAATGGTTATGAAAGAAAAGAAAATGGACATAAAAGAAGAAGGTCGGTGGCCATGAAAAAAAGAAAGTAATCGTGAAATAAAGCCACTTAGTGATCATAAAAGAAGAAAGTTAGTGATTTTTTATTATTTTTAATTCATGTACTTAAAATTCTTAAATGTTTTAATTTTTATGCCTATATATAGGGTGTCATTCTCTTCATTTAGGAAAATCATTTCATAAACTTATATTTCGAGAGAGAGAGGGAGAGAAAGAGAATAGAATTGAGTAAGAAGTGAAGTCAAAAGTATTTGAAAGAAGATTAGAGTCTTGGTGATTAAATATTCAAGGTAAAAAAATATTTAATTTAATTATTTGTTTATATATGATTTTAGGTAGAAATTTCATGATTTAAGATTAACTATGTAAAAATTATATTTTAGTATTAAAATCTTAAATTTTTTATTAGAATATTTGATGATCAAATGTATTTGAATAAGAATTCAAAAGGTTAAGTTAAAATTTAATAACATTAGATTATATGAATATAATTAGAGGAGAATTGAATAAATTATAATAGAGTTGATGATTTAGTTATGATTTTTAATCTAAAAGAAATTATAAGAAAAGAATAAGAATTAATAAAAATTAAATAATTAGAGATAAAGTAATATATTCAATTTCTTATGTTATATTGTGTGTATATTTAACGTATTGAATCAAGTAGAGGTATCAATTTTTAGAGAAAAGTTATGATAAACAATGGTCTTAAGAGGATCAAGTAAGTATAACTCACCTACACAAGTGCACGTAAATGCTATATGTTTTTATGTGATTGATATGATGTGATGATCTTGAGGTTCGTTCATATGCATGTATTTGTTTTACATGTTGATTGAAAGAAAATATTTTAAGTAAACGAATGATGTTATTTTTTTAATGCATATAGAGGTTGTCTATCGAGGCATAAACGTTGATGTTTGACTATTAAATGATGAAGTTAATATTTTTATGCATGTTTTTATTGAGACTAGACCTCATAATCGGTGTTAGTATCTTTTAACGAGCCCAAATGAGGAAAAAGAATTTTAAAAACATTCATGTATAAAACGTTTTAATGTAAAATCATACAAGTTACATTTATTGGGATATTCGTATCTCATGTTCATTCCGTGGTGCAAGTAATGATGCAAATATCGAGGATGTTGATGCTAATTCTAGTGATCGGTGACTCATGTGCTGTCTTTGCATATTCCTAACAATTAGGTTATGCTTTAAATGAATATTTATTTTTAAAATAATAAGTGTAATGATGTTAAACTTATAAATGTTGGAAATTTATACTTAGAATTTGAGTATGAATATTGAGATAAGATTATTTAGGAGTGTTAATCATGATGAGAGATGTTTTATAAATGATGAAATCTTAGAATAACACTTTTGCTATATTAATGAGAAGATCTTATGGCTATATATTATTAATGACATATTTAAAGATAAATAAGATTAAATTATGAACTTAATTTTAGGAAAATAAAAAAGATATAAGTTTTAGTATCGATACTGTTCGTTGTGACCCTTCGAGTGAGGTGTCTCGATTGATGGGAGTTGCATATAATATTATTGTTTTTAAATTAAAATTTTAGAATGTTCTAAATACCAAATTAATAAAAAAAGATATGTTGCAATAATGAATTTGAAAGATAAAAAATGACATTAGTTATAACTCTTTTATAATCATTTAAGCTTTATATATCTAATTTCATGTAATGGTAAAGCAAATATAAATAATATGATATCGGTTGTTTCCTTTTATAACTTCATACATCTTGCATTCAATTGATTGAATATTATTGTTGTAATTTATTGGTTTTGTTTTTCATCTATTGTGAAATGAAATTTTTGTTCAACATCCAAAATATTTTTAAAAAATTAATTTATCACCCGTATTTCGTATCATGAATTTTTAATAGTTGTCATATCCGTATCCATATTTGTGTTTCGTTCACATCTATGATTTAAAGACTTTTACATTTATGACGATGCTTCTAACTTTTGCACAAAAGATATTATAAATTTTTTATTATACATGGATACTATATGTATGCAAATTGATGTATTCGATATAATTTTTTTTTCTTGTAACCTCCCTATGCAAGTGTATTAGGAAAAGAAAAAATAAAAGTAAAGATAAGGACTAATGATACTCTATTTTATTTGTTGATAAGACCATTGAGCATTGATTGAAAGATGTGGGGAGCCCCTTCTTATAGTCTTGCTATATTTAATACGAATTATATTTATCCATGAGTTTTAAATACAATATCGGCCTATTTACTAATTAAGTGAGGTATTTTGTATTACATTATATTTCAACAACAAATAACTCCTTTTTAAAGTTCTTTGGCCATAATGAAAAAATTACAAATTACAAATATGTCATAATTTTAATAACACACTTTTTTTTGTATTCTAATATAACAAATTAAAGAAAAGTAAAGTGAAAAAAAAAAGACACATCAACGACAATGATAATAATGATTATGATAATTAGATGCTAGTTTCGGTATTGCAAGACGATGGTTGCAAGGATCGTATAATGGCATACATGCTATATCCAATGGTGATGTCATAATGATAATGATGTGTCCGTAATGTGGTAATATTGTGATGACATGAAGGTCAATAATTGTAGCCATGACCTTTGATGATGGCGATAACGATAGTGATGCAACAATAATATTCATTTAGCGATGATTTATGGTCGTGGTAATACCGATAATATGAACGATGATGATAAGAATTCGATAAATTTAAAGACATGAAACAAAAAATGATATTTGTAATTTTCAAAATTCTATGTATGATTTTTTTTTTTGATAAAATTAGATAAGAACCGATAAAAAAATGAAAATGTAGTAGTAACTCTTTTCCTAATACATAAAACTTATAGTTTGCTTGCAAGAGACCTTAATAATTGAAAGAAATTAGTCATTGATGGATGGTAATAAAATTTTGTTTGTTTATTATCTTAAAGGATATTTATGACACCACCAAAGTTGTTAAATTAAAAAATTTTGTTTTTCATTTTTTTTATATTCATAATAGCTATGTATTTGTTCCTCGAAATTCTCTCAAATCTTTCTTTAATCCAACTCATTTTTAAGTTTATTCTCGTATTTTATGATAATACCCCATTGAAAAGTTTTATATTAAAAAATAAATTAAAATAAGAAATCACAACCCCACCAAAACACACCATAAAGTTATTTCAAAGTGAAAAGGCACCATGTGCTACTTTCCATCTAGACAAAGCCAAATTATTTTTCCCAAAATCCCTTCGTTTTTTCTCTTTATTTCTTATAATTTTCCCTTCCCCATCCTAATATTCCCTCCTCCCAAACAACCGTTACACCCCAACCCCTTCCGCAACTACGTGCATCAACTCGCCCCACACCGCGCGTCGGAAAAACCTCTAAAAATTCAAAAACGTACAACTCAAAATACCTCTTCTCTCTCCCTCTTTCTCCCCCCCCCTCTCTCTCTCATGATTTTTGATTTAGCAACATTAAATTAAGCCAAAAAAACAAAAAAAAACTTATCGTAGCCTCGTCCCCCTCTATGCCCTGATTTTGTCATTTCTCCCTCTCTCTCTCTCTCCCCCACTCTCGCCGGCGAGAGAAATTAAAAGAGGATAGATTTTTTTTTTTTCAAATTCAAAAATCTGCACTGAAAATCCACACTGAAAGAGCGAGAGATCTAAAAGAAAATGTCGGAAGAAGAAAAGTTGTTAAAGGAAGCGAAGAAATTGCCATGGGAAGATCGGTTGTTACACAAGAATTGGAAAGTTAGAAGCGAAGCCAATATCGACTTGGCTTCTCTTTGTGGCTCGATTTCCGATCCTAAAGACTCCAGGCTTCGTGAATTCGGTTAGTTAGGGTTTCTACTTTTTGTAGATTTTTAGTTTCAGATCTGATTGATCTGTTATTTATGTGTCAAATGTGGATTGATTTTGTTGCGGTTTGTGGTTAGCTCCGTTGTTTAGGAAAACGGTTGCGGATTCGAATGCGCCAGTGCAGGAGAAAGCGCTTGACTCTTTGATTGCGTTTTTGCGAGCTGCGGATGCTGATGCCGGAAGGTAGAAATTGATTTTTGATATTTTTGTTTTTTGAATTTTTGTTTTTGCATGTTGTTTTTGTGGAGTTTAATTTGGTGTGGTGTGGGTGTAGGTATGCGAAAGAAGTGTGTGATGCGATTGTGGCGAAGTGTCTTACGGGCAGACCGAAGACTGTGGAGAAAGCGCAGGCGGCGTTTATGTTGTGGGTGGAATTGGAAGCTGTGGATGTTTTCTTGGTGAGTGACTCTATGGTTTTTGGATATTGAGTGGAAATGTGTGTTGGTTTTGTTTTGTTTTGTTTTGTTTTTTTTTTAAGGCTACGGTTTACTGTAGAAATGTTTCTTTTGTTTAATTGTCAGTTGAGAATGAATGAATTATTATAGTGTTTACTGAAAGTAAACGATTTTTTGAATTGCATTTTGATTGCTATTCTACTGTTTTTATTGTTTTTGTTGACATTCCAGTCTGTACTGCAGGTATTAGATTCTCAATTAGTTATAGGATCGAATGGGAGCTTTGTGTGCCATTTAACTTATCAATGTACGGTTAACCATTCTTCAGTTGGTTTCGTATCTAAGTTTATGTTGCTGTGCAGATTTTCAGCTAAAAGTTTTCAGTTCTATTAGCATTATTAAGTGAATTGTTTTGCAAGCTTTAATCGTGCAATCTTCTGTTGCGTAGTGAAATAAGGTGCTGGGTTTAAATTCAGTTGGTGAATTAATTAGAAAATGATAGTGCCTAAATATCTGACGAGTCATAAGCCTAGGCATGTTGATTTTGTGGATGCTGATTAAGTAGGTGTGACCTTGTCCTTTTGTGGTTATTCATAAGCAGATGTGGGAGTTATCAAAATCATACTGCAAAGTTCTACAGCCACACTTCAGATAGCCGAACCCAACTAGATTGTTACTGAGGCCTTGTTGTTGGTGTTCTGAAATAACAGAAGGGATGATTTGATGTACATTCTGGGCAAAAGTTGTGCTTTTGCATCTGTGTATGTAGAGTGCTCTCATCCACATTAAGAATCTTTTAAAGGAGAAACAAAAGTTAGTCATGCACTCTACTGTAATACATCAGAAGGGCCTAATTGACGGTGTAACAGAGTTTATTCAGGCTCACTTTTCTTCTTCCCTACCTTTGACAACACCGCCCTTTCTTTACCATCGTACCTCAAAACTTTGGAGGTTGGTGATGTCGCTTGTCAAAGCTTAAGCTTGGTGCCTTTTCCTTTGCCCACAGTGTACATCAAATCATCCCTTCTGTTATTTCAGAACACCAACAACAAGGCCTCAGTAACAATCTAGTTGGGAGTTATCAAAATCATACTGCAAAGTTCTACAGCCACACTTCATATAGCCGAACCCAACTAGATTGTTACTGAGGCCTTGTTGTTGGTGTTCTGAAATAACAGAAGGGATGATTTGATGTACACTGTGGGCAAAAGTTGTGCTTTTGCATCTGTGTATGTAGAGTGCTCTCATCCGCTTTAAGAATCTTTTAAAGGAAAAAGGGAAGTTAGTCATGCACTCTACTGTAATACATCAGAAGGGCCTAATTGACGGTGTAACAGAGCTGATTCAGGCTCACTTTTCTTCTTCCCTACTTTTGACAACACCGCTTTTTCTTTACCATCGTACCTCAAAACTTTGGAGGTTGGTGATGTCGCTTGGCAAAGCTTAAGCTTGGTGCCTTTTCTATTATAAATTGGTTCATCTTTTTTATTTTAAGTATGCTCTGTTTCTCAGGATCACATACATGAGGTGATTTACATTTTTACTTATACCAATATTCATCTCATCTTACCTTTGCTTGTATATTCTCATGGACACAAAAACGGAAATGAAAATTGAAGTTCTTAATTGGTAAATTGGGTCTGTACTAAATGAACTTTCTTGGGTTACCTGATAACTTAATTATTAGTTATGTTGATGAAACTTTCTTGAGTAATATTTAAAAATTTTAATTCGTCTCTCCTCTCTAGTTTTCAAAACTCCATAAAGTAGGAAAAATTTGAATTTATGTCCTAGAAAGGCTGTGTTGTACACCACTTAGCTAGGGTTTGAGAACTGTGGATTTTAGGGTTTAATCTTGGAGCGGGAGAGAATTTAATGTTTGAAACTTTGAATTAAGAATGAATTTTCAAGCTATATTTGTGGAAAGTAACCTGAGGTTGCTTTATCAGAAGGAATTAGCATTAAAAGAAGCCGAGCAGAGAACAAATGAATGGAGTTGTCCCCTCTTTCTCTTAAGATCAAAATAATCAAGTTAGGTATGAAAGCCTTTCAAACCAAAACAAATTATCAAAAGCTTTCCTTTTAATAGAAATAGGTGCTCATTTAGTAGGCACTAAAATTTTTAATGGTTGTCAACTGAGTAGATTGGATATCAAATTATAACTATGAAATGATAAATAATGGAGAACTCCTTCTTCCTTAGTAAATATTCCTATATCTTGAATAAATCAGGAATGAGGATGCCTGAACAGTGATAAGATTCCCTGGGAGTACTAAACAGATTAATCAAAAGAAAAAAAGAAGAACCTTCGTTATTTGAAATTAAGAATCTTTCTTGTTGGCTGTACCATCCTGCTTTGCTTGGGAAAAATCAAGTTCAAGCTTTGTATTCTCGTAGTAGTTAGAATTTGTAGAACTTGCACGAGTAGGTAGGTTTTAAGTTTCCTTGAATAGACTTGACTTCTCTTGGAAAGCGGCACAAAGTTGGTCAGTCTCTTTTACTGTAGGTTGAAATCCCTGTTATTGAGTGTATCTGACTGTCTTATATGCCATGGTTATTTTTGAATGTGAATCAGTGCATGTGGCATTTCTTTTGTTTTGCTTCAGGATTTTGTAGCATTCAGTTGTCTTGTGTCTTCTCTATCTCTTTCATTTTTCAATGTCTTCTACGCTCTTTTTCCTTCCTTCCTTCCATTCAATCTGGCATCCATGTTTGTTTAGCTTGGGTTGTAGCTTTTACTTGTGGTGGAGGCTTTTTGCTCACCAAAGGCTAAGAACTTCTAGCTGGAATGAAACTGGTTATTTTTTTTTTAAAGATAGTTACAAGTGTTTGGTGATTGTAGGATGCAATGGAGAAAGCAATTAAGAACAAAGTTGCCAAAGCTGTGGTACCCGCAATAGATGTCATGTTTCAAGCCTTAAGGTCTGTAAACAATATTTCTTTGTTGCAAAGCACTGATTATTTTATTTGTCCGTCTAAATGTCCCTGTTGTTTTGTTCTGTTTGCTAATAGTGAATTTGGAGCCAAAGTTGTTCCCCCAAAGAGGATTTTAAAGATGCTTCCAGAATTGTTTGACCACCAGGATCAAAATGTTCGTGCATCATCTAAAGGACTGACTCTCGAGCTTTGTCGGTGGATCGGAAAGGACCCTGTGAAATCAATTCTGTTTGAGAAGATGCGAGATACAATGGTACAACAAATTTATTCATTAATTTGCATGACTTTGTCACTTTTGTTTTACCTATACATTGTAACAAACATTTTTTTTTCTTTTTTCCTCCACGTTCCTGCTTGAAGAAAAAAGAATTGGAGGCTGAGCTTGTTAATGTTTCAGGAACAGCTAAGCCATCCCGCAAGATTAGGTAAATGTAGTCAAGAAACCTTTTCTACTCTTTCATGCATTTTACTATATGTACTCTTGATCTCCTAAGATGTTTCCTTAGGTTCTGTGCTCATGTACTGCCAAAATTATCATGATTTGGATTGATCATATGCTGCTTTGTCATTGTGACCATTAGATTTGCATTCCTGTTCTTTTTACACCTAGCTATTTGCCTCTTGCATGCATACTGATCTTCAATAATTTTTCTTGCAGTGTAACGAACAACATTGGCTTGAATCTTGTTGTATTGTTTATTGATTTCTGTATTTGGTTTGAAATTATAATTATAAGGTCATACTGTTACAATTATTAAATCTCTGTGCATTTTCTCAATGATTACTTTGTTGTTTATCATTGTCAATGGCTTGGTTTGGTGCTTGTGTTACTTTATACTTTGGCAAGTTTCATATTCTAGATCTTTGCTTTAAGCAATTTTATGCTGCTGGGCAATTTACAGTTTCCCTTCTTTATCAATTAGTTTAAAAAATAATACATTTATCTGGCGGAAGCCCATTCTGTCATACTTTGATTGGACTGTAGAGTTAACATGCATATGTGATCAGATCTGAGCAAGACAAGGAGCCGGAGCCAGAAAGTGTATCAGAAGTTGTGGGTCCTGGTCAGTCTGAAGAAGTTGCAGCTGATGGTATGTGATTTAAATTTCTCCCATAGTATTTGAATCTTTCATCCTCAATTGACTAATATGCTATTACTGGGATGTTTACTGTTTATCAGCTCCTCAAGAAATAGATGAGTATGACCTTATGGACCCGGTTGATATTTTGGGTCCTTTGGAGAAGTCTGGATTTTGGGATGGAGTGGTCAGTGCTCCCACTTCTTGTTTTCATGTTTCCTAGTGTTCTGGATTGATCCAACTTCTTTCTAAACATGCAAGTTTTGTTGGTTACATATATTTAACAATTTGTGTCTACCTCTTAGAAAGCTGCCAAATGGTCAGAAAGAAAAGAGGCTGTTGCACAGCTGACGAAGCTTGCTTCCACAAAGAGGATAGCACCTGGTGATTTCTCTGAAGTTTGTCGGACATTGAAGAAGGTAATTTTTTTCTTAAATTCAGAATGACCATTTTAAATTGTCCATAATCATCTCTCGTTTTATTGTTACTATATTTGTTGCTATCATGTATTCTTTGTGTTCCTATCCATTTTTTTTTTTTGCTTTCTTTATCTTTTTTTTCTGGTGTATAAAGGCTATTTTTGAAAAGCATATTTATTTTGGTTACGAATAGTTGACTTTGATTCTGGTGAAGTGCATTTTGTTTGGTCAATTTGCAGAAGAGATGAGAAGCTACATATGAAATATAATTAGAAAAATTATTTTTTAACTTTGGTGCCAAGTCATAAATTTGTTATTAGCCTTACAGGCAGGGTTATTATGAGGTTACATTCTACTCGTCCTTTTTCTGTCTTTTTTTTTTAAGCTTTGGTCTGACCTGGATGGAATTGTACTGATAAAATTCATATTTTTTTGTCAAATCATGAGGATGCGATTTTAAGATATTTTCTATATGGACTGTGGTATTTTTTGTGTGGATAACCATTGAATGCTATTGAATTTCATTATGGCATTTTGAACCTGATACTGATCTTGAAACTTGTAGGATTCATTTCTTTTTTTTGGTGTATTATGTACATTGCTGGTTTAGTTTGTCGATAGACTTTTTGTATGATGCTTTCTTATCCTTCTTGATGTGTCTGCGATCCATTTCATCACCGTCCTTCCCCACCACAATCCCCCCCCCCCCCCCCCCCAAAAAAAATGAAAAGAGCTTCACTATGTTTTTGCCTGCAGCTTATTACAGATGTGAACATTGCTGTTGCAGTGGAAGCCATACAAGCTCTTGGCAACCTTGCGCGTGGTCTACGAACCCATTTCTCTGGGAGCTCTCGGTTCTTGTTGCCTGTTTTGCTTGTAAGAGCCATATACACTTTAATTATGGCACACATACCCAGACACTAATGCTTTTCACACCTTGTCTACCTGGGTGTGTTGAACTGGTCCACATGTTTGGATCTTGTGTGATGAATGAGCTATGTAAGTTTATACTACCTGTCTAACTTTAACAACAGTGCCTTTTCTATTGTTTCTTTTAATAGGAAAAATTGAAAGAGAAAAAACCTACTCTGACAGAGTCACTTACACAAACTCTCCAAGCGATGCATAAGGCTGGGTGCTTAAATCTTGCTGATATTGTTGAAGGCAAGTTCCCCCTAATTCCAAATACTTTCATATTCTGATAGGTTTTTCTCCCTACCCTTTACTTGAATTGTTTGAGTCTTAGAGATTGGACTTCTTAATTTTCTGTATTTGGTTTGCCTAATTCCTACTATTTGTCATTGAATTCTGTATATTTCTGTTTGTTTTTGGTTGTCACCACAAGTTTGCCACCATATTTTTAATACAATTCATAACTGAAACGCGCATAAGAAAATAATAATTAAGTTTCGTGAGAAGAAAATATTGCATTTTCCATCTATTTTTCTTTTGCAGATTCTTTTTGTATTGGGTGATGCTATGACACCAAAAATTTTGTAATTACTAACTGGCGTGGCATTTTGCTATAGGGAAAGGTTTTCAAGTCATTGAATGTCAATCTTATCACAATAATGATGCAATGATAATTATAGAATGTTTTAACTAATGAATCACCAATCATGTGCTGCCACATCATTTAGTAAACCAATCTTAGTAAAAAATTAATTATCTCTAGCATTAGCCTTTCATATTTACCAGTCTTTTCCATTTTTTGGGCATATAGAGTAAATTTTTTGCTGCTATTAGTTCATGGTTTACAGGGTTACATGGTTTTAATTCTGAATGATTTCTTTTACTGCAGATGTCAAAACGGCAGTGAAAAATAAAGTTCCTCTTGTGCGCTCATTAACTTTAAACTGGGTGACGTTCTGTATTGAAACAAGTAATAAGGCTGTTATTCTGAAGGTGCATAAGGATTATGTCCCTATGTGTATGGAGGTTAGTGCATCCCTTGTACTTGTGTTAATATTTATGATCGAATCCTTCACATGCTTGGCGCTAATGTTCCTGTCAATTTTTAGCACATCGCATTTCATATCCAATAGCTGGTGTTTGCACTATGATCTCCAATAATGGAGCCTTACCCTTTGGTGTATTATAAGATTTTGAAGGAGATGGAAAATCTATCTTTACATTGGGGATTGGAACTGGCCTTTGATTTGGATTATTCATGGATCATCATCTGTTAACTCCTTGCTTATGATTCATGGAGCTATATGATGATATGTAGCTGTGGGAATGCACAGATTTTGCTTATCTGCTGCTACTTTTCCTGCAATATATTTTTTTAAGTTTGAAATTAAGTGATTGTATTTTGTAGTGCCTCAATGATGGGACTCCTGATGTGAGGGATTCTGCCTTTTTAGTGCTAGCAGCAGTAGCTAAGGTAGTACTTCCATTTGAGAAAAACATTGAAAATTATTGCTTCAATTTTAGTTACTGCTATTGTAACTCTCAAATTCTTGCTTAGTCGGTTGGCATGAGGCCTTTGGAGAGGTCACTGGAGAAACTTGATGATGTGAGAAGAAAAAAGCTTTCTGAAATGATAGCAGGTTCAGGAGATGGTGTGCCAGCTGTAGCAACCTCAGGTGTGCAAACTTTTTCTATGTCCACTTTGCTATCACAACAATTTACTTAGATTTATAAAACCTTTAGCTATATCTTTTTTTTTTTTTTAATTTACTTGATCATGTTTGATGTGCCATGACCAGGTACATTTCATACTGTTCGTGGAAGTATGTCATCTGTAGAGGTGGGTTGTTGCTTTTTTTTTTTTCTTTTGAAACTTTAGATTCTTGATTTTGTTATTAGATTGTCTTTGTCATTTGTAACACACACTTGAATTACATTATCACTAGCACTGTCTTATTTGTACCATTAGAAACTGTATTGATGAGAATTCTAGAAAAGCTGTTTTATGAGCTAGATATGCATGACGTGCACCATGGAAGAGTGGCATTTTGTTTTGAAATATGCTGTGGTGTTTAGTCCTATAATTCCTTTTGGGTGACGGGGCCTTATGTTTTGACCATGGTCCTTGTTGCAAGGTCATTAAATTTAGTGAGCATAATACAGCTGCTTTTAATTGAAAAGATAAAAGGAAACATACATTGAGTTTTTTATACAATTGTTCTTTTTGGCTGATTTCTCATGTTCCTCTGTACATTGTTCTCATTTCAATGATTATTTATGTTTCTGCTATATTTGTAGCTGTTTATTTCTTAATTACTTTGTGTGTGATATTAGTAGTTCCTTGAGTGTTGGTTGTACTTATTCTATGCACCTCACTTCAATTTTTCCATAAGGGTGGTTTTTTAAGTTTCATTTAAATCAGGTCTTAAGAAGGTTTTGTAATTAATATACTTTTGCAGGCATCGGGAAGTTCATTTGTTAAAAAGTCGGCGGCAAGCATGCTTTCTGGGAAGAGGCCTGCTCCAACAGCTGTGAGTTTCTTTTACCTTTTCCTTCTGTGTTTCTTATCATTCACTTTAAAAATTTTGCTCAAATGGACATTATGACAATGATGTTTTCTGATTTTGATATTGTTCTTTTTGTCAGCCTGCTAACAAAAAGGCAGCCCCTACAAAATCAGGGGCTAGCAAGAAAGGAGATGGAGCTGGGCGGGCAGAAACTTCTAGAGCACTTGAACCACCTGAGGATGTTGAGGTAAGCAGAATGCCTTTGTTCCCGAAAGTGCTCTTTGTCAACTGTCATTTGCATTAATAGTTTTATATATGAATTACTCTCTGTTTGATATTTGCAGCCAGGAGAGATGAGTCTTGAAGAAATTGAAACCCGATTAGGTTCTCTTATTCAAGGAGATGTTGTTTCCCAACTGAAGAGTGCAGTGTGGAAAGAGCGGTTGGAAGGTATGTTATAAGAACCTTTTGCACGTTTCATGCATGCATTAAAATCTGAAGGCTTACGAAGCCGTAGTTCTGCTACTCAGATGCAATTGCTTTGACTCAATTTCAAAACTGAAAGCTGTTTGGTTTTATTTTTCTACCTTATGTTTAAATGATCATTTTTTCTTTTAATATAAAAGTTGAAACACTGCAAAAATCTATTCATTTTATTTCAGTACTCTTTAGTTACAAAGTTGCTTGGGTTGTTTGATTATGCATTAGAGTGCTTCACTGCGAACAGGTTTTCTTTTAACATCAAGATTGCGAAGAGGTGAACTATGGTGACAATTTTTATGCTACTATATTATTTCAGTAGAATTTATCTCATGATATGTTGGTTGTGAGTAAATTATTTATATTTACTTGTTTTTTCCCCCTTACGTATGTGTAAAATTTTATTTAGCTGTTCTTGTAAAATTTTTTTGTTGCTAATTTGATGAGTAAATATTTATTTGTGCTTGTATAAATTTTCTTTAATTGGGGGATTGATTAGAATACTTTTCTTAGCAAAAGATCTTTTGTTCTTGGTCAGCTTAAATGAAATTTTTCTGGGCAATGCCATGTAATTTTGCTAGTTTATATCTTGGTGCGCAAGCCTGGCGTTTATTTTTTATACCATATCATTCTAGCTGCATTTATTTGGTTAACGTTTCTTCTTGCTTTGTTTATTTTAATTACAATTTTAATTTTTAGTTGATTTATGGTTTTAACCTTTGGAAATTGTTGCAGCAATATCCTCATTGAAACAACAGGTGGAGGGGTTGCAGAAAATTGATCAATCTGTGGAGATTTTGATTCGTTTACTCTGCACTATTCCTGGCTGGAATGAGAAAAATGTTCAGGTATTTAAATGTTTTTATGTTTCACATTTTTGTATGAACATATTATTGTCAAGCACAATTCTGTAATGGTTATAATATTAAGAAAACAATAAAAAATGCAGGTTCAGCAGCAGGTCATTGAAGTCGTTACTTACCTCGCTTCAACTGCATCAAAATTTCCAAAGAAATGCGTGGTGCTCTGCCTTCTAGGTGGGTATTAGGTGTTAGTTGCCTATTCTTTTGTGTGAAGCGAGGGCTGAATTTTGTGAAAAGTTGCTTTTGTTTTTTTCTATCGTCTGTAAATGTGAACCCTCACAGTTCTGTGCTAAATTGATTATCCCCCTTTTAACCCTGATAGTGAATGAATTTGATAAATTTTAAAGTTTTAGCATAGCTTAGTTTTTACATACCTACTCGCAGGTATAAGTGAGCGGGTAGCAGATATTAAAACCCGAGCTCATGCCATGAAGTGCCTTACCACTTTCTCTGAAGCAGTAGGTCCAGGATTTGTATTTGACCGAGTAAGTATACTTACAGTTCGCCATAAATTTCATGGTTCTCAAATTGAAGTTAGATACTTGCTTTAACAATTTGCGTTATTTTAGGTCCAGTATAATCAAAGACTGGACCAGATTTAGAACACACTTTCGCTGTTTTGCTGAATAATCTGTGTGGAATTTCATCTTTTGCAGCTTTACAAAATTATGAAAGAGCACAAGAATCCAAAGGTCCTTAGTGAGGGAATGCTCTGGATGGTTTCAGCAGTTGATGACTTTGGGGTGTCACATTTGAAGCTTAAGGTGCTTCTATTTCTTCCTCCCAATAAATCTTCCTTGACATACTGAAGATTATCTTTCTGTTCTATTTTTCACCCTGTAGTTGCGTTTTTTAAGGAGAGATGTGAATATTATCTTGCAGGATTTAATTGATTTCTGTAAAGATACTGGGCTACAGTCCAGTGTTGCTGCTAGCAGAAATGCAACTATCAAACTTTTGGGTGCTTTACATAAGTTTGTTGGTCCAGGTGTGTAATTATCTTATTATTATTGATTTTCCACGTGCCATGAATCTTTGATATGTATTTTATTTTTTTATTTTGCAGATATTAAAGGGTTTCTTGCTGATGTCAAACCTGCACTGCTTAGTGCACTTGATGCAGAGTATGAAAAAAATCCATTTGAGGTAATGGGAAGCTGAGATAAATTTCCTTTCTCAAAATGATTGTGTTATATATTTTACTTGATGCTTTAACACGTCTTCAGGGTGGTGCTGCCGTTGCAAAGAGAACAGTTAGGACATCAGAATCCACTGCTTCTGTTTCTGCAGGTGGGCTGGATGGCCTGCCACGTGAAGACATTAGTGGAAAGATAACACCTACTCTGATAAAGAGTTTGGAAAGTCCCGATTGGAAGGTATGGCTGTCCACATTCATGAAGCAAGCTCACTTTATGTTATGATTGCCTTTGTGAGACCTTGACTTGATGTTATCAACTCGACTCTTAAATCTATGTTGCAGGTTCGACTGGAGTCTATTGAAATTGTCAATAAAATTTTAGAGGAGGCTAATAAACGCATTCAACCAGCTGGAACTGGTATGCGTTCAAGTTAAAGTGGAGTTGAATAATTAGAGAGTTGTATTAAGACATGCGTAGTGTCATAATAACCTTGCTGTTATAACTAGCAATCTGTTAGTCATTAATGTCTTGTTTTGTTGCCAGGTGAATTATTTGGTGCTCTTAGAGGGCGTCTATATGACAGCAATAAAAATTTAATCATGACAGCTTTGACAACCATTGGTGGTGTTGCTTCTGCTATGGGACTACCGGTTGAGAAGTCGAGCAAGGTTGGACCACTCTAGACGAGCATGTTTATTTTCGTTTACATTTGTTGTTCTGAGAAAAGCTTAAGTTTACTGTTGGGTGGGTTTTGCAGGGAGTTCTGGCAGATATTTTGAAATGTCTTGGGGATAATAAGAAACATATGAGGGAATGCACTTTGAATACTTTAGATACTTGGGTTGCTGCTGTTCATCTTGATAAAATGGTAATTGTTTATTCATTTACTGATAACATGTGTTATTTTAATTTTGGGCTACTTTGAGAAGTTGTGGTTGGGTGTAATGACATTTCTTTGTTTCTAGATTCCTTACATCACAGCAGCTTTGATAGAAACTAAGCTTGGTGCTGAAGGCCGCAAGGATCTTTTTGATTGGCTGTCAAAGCAACTTTCTGGATTAAGCGAGTTTTCTGATGCCATACATTTGCTGAAACCAGCCAGCTCTGCTATGACGGTAGTTTGTAGTTTAGTTTTCTTGACCAAGACATTTTGTGACTCGACTTCTGCATTCTTGACATTTCCTTTGGGATTATTATTATTAGGATAAATCAGCAGATGTTAGGAAAGCAGCTGAAGCATGCATCTCTGAGATTTTGAGAGTGTGTGGGCAAGAAATGGTAAGTGCATTAGTATTATTCTGGTGTTTTTTCTCATTCACTTGCATTGATTGATGACTAAACTTCCGAATATGTATACCTTTTTTCAGATTGAGAAGAATCTGAGAGATATTAATGGGCCAGCCTTGGCTCTTGTTCTTGAACGAGTGAGGCCTGCTGGTGGTTTTCAAGGTCTGTCCTTGGGTAACTTGGATGACTTCTTTGTGTCTGTTTTTGCGTGCATGCACATGCCTCCTGTTTTGAGATTGCTTATTGAAATTTGTCATGGCTTATCAGAATCATTTGAATCAACAAAAACAATTTCCATGGGGCCATCATCCAAAACAAACTCAAAGGTTGGAAAAGCTGCTTCCAATGGCATCTCTAAGCATGCAAATAGATCTATATCTTCGGTATGTTTCTCCTATTTGATTTATATTGTTTGAAATTCAATATGGAGATTGATAATTTATGTCTTGGCTTTATAAGAGAGTCGTACCAGCGAAAGGGTCAAAGCCAGAACCAACTATGTCTTTTCAGGACAGGGCTGTTCAATCGCAAGCATTATTGAATGTAAAGGACTCAAACAAGGTAGTTGATATGGCACGTCGAATTTTTCATTAGATGTAAAGAGCATTCATTCAACAATTGCCATTTGCACTTGCCTATTCACAGGAGGATAGGGAGAGAATGGTAGTCCGAAGGTTTAAGTTTGAAGAGCCACGGATGGAACAGATTCAAGATCTTGAGGTTTGGTTTTTAGACCGTGCTTCTAGTAGATTTTATTGGATTTTTTTTTCACTGCATTTTGAGATATCTCTTGGCATATTCCCTAAATGCAGAGTGACATGATGAAGTACTTCAGAGAGGATCTGAACAGGAGGCTTTTAAGTCCGGATTTTAAGAAACAAGTTGATGGGTTGGAAATGTTACAGAAGGTATTTGGCATTTTCTTTACTATTGGAAATTGATTATGAGTATGGCACTGTGTTATTATTAAATTTGAAACTTTTGTGTTCTTTTTCAGGCCCTTCCATCCATTGGAAAGGAAATAATTGAAGTTCTGGACATACTTTTGAGGTGGTTTGTTTTGCAGTTATGTAAATCTAACACAACATGCCTGTTGAAGGTATAGTGTTTTTTTTTTTTTCTCATCATCATATTGTCTCGCTTCTTTGCTTGGTGTGGTTTATAAGGATGATGCTTCTTAAGATATGATTATATGAAGTTTGACCAGTTGAAATGGACAGGTGCTGGAATTCCTCCCTGAACTTTTTGACTTGCTTCGGGATGAAGCCTACGTTTTGAGTGAATCAGAAGCAGCTATATTTCTTCCATGCTTGATCGAAAAGGTTCTACTTAGAGCTCAGTAGTATGAGTTGTTGTAGATATCATTATATTCCACATGGTTCAGATATTTATGCCACACTTGGAGAAACTTCATATTGTACTAGTTTTTGAAAGTTAATTAATATTCAAAATGTTTTTCTTGGATGCCATTATTCTGTTATCTGACAGGAAACACTTTTAATATTTTGAACATACTATATTTGCGCTGCAGTTGGGGCATAACATTGAGAAAGTGCGAGAAAAGATGCGTGAGCTTACCAAACAAATCGTGCATGCATATTCAGCAACAAAATCTTTCCCTTACATCCTGGAGGGTTTGCGCTCTAAAAACAACCGTACTCGGATAGAGTGTGCAGATCTAGTTGGGTTCTTGATTGATCATCATGGGGCAGAGGTATGATTATATATTTTATGCTGTTGTTATCAATGGCTTTTTTGGGTCATACTTATTCCTGTTTTTTCTTGCCCATAGATAAGTGGACAGTTAAAATCCTTGCAAATTGTTGCAAGCTTGACAGCAGAGCGTGATGGTGAAACTAGAAAAGCTGCGTTAAATACACTGGCTACTGGTTACAAGATTCTTGGTATGTATTGGTACCATGAAATAACCAGTTACCTTACTGGTATTCTGTGGGATTTGCTAATATGTGAAGTTTAGTGTTATGAATCTCCATTGGCTTAGCACAGATTCATATTAATGGTGGACTTTTATGTTCTACAAGTAATAACATTCTTACTTTCTCACTTCATAGTTGATAGTTTGGGCATTGTTTTAAAAGTCGCTCTCTTTCTTCAATAGGTGAGGACATTTGGAGATATCTCGGGAAGCTAACAGATGCTCAGAAAAGCATGATAGATGATAGATTTAAATGGAAGGTGAGTTATATTGGTGCGTTGATCTTTTTCCGCTTCCAATGCACTCATTGTGATTTTTTTTTGGGTAGGTACGAGAGATGGACAAAAGGAAGGAAGGTCGCCCTGGTGATGCTAGAGCTGCTTTAAGGCGTTCTGTTAGGGAAAATGGGTGTGTATCTTATGATACTTGCAATGTATTTCCATTAGAGTTTTATTTTGTTACTATTATGATTTATGAATGTGGCCTAGTTAAGATTTAACTTTTGCCTTTATTGAACTTCTTTCTTCTATTGGTATCAACATGACCCCCACTCAGTTTTCTGTGTAATCTTATAGTTTGGGCGACACAGAATGACCTGAAACTTGTATCCCAAGTGAATGTAAATCAGGAGTTGGATATTATGGCTCTTGGTTCAAAAGTTACTGAAGTGTGTATAAGTTGACATTGGTTATATATTCTTACCATCAAATTCTTTATTTGACTTAGGTCTGATATAGCAGAGCAGAGTGGGGAAGTTTTACAATCAGTCTCTGGTCCTATATTAGCCAGGTATCATAATCATTGTTTTTTGGTTTCTCATTATCATTTCTTTGATTTCCTAATTTCTCAAGTAACCACTGTTCATTTCCAGGAAAAACTATGGTTCTCAGGAGGTTCATATGGAGAGACATGTGATGCCCCGTGCACTCGCTGGTGCCAATGGCCCCACGGACTGGAATGAAGCTCTGGACACCATTTCTTTTGGTTCCCCAGAGCAGGTTTTCAGCTGATCTCACTTTGATCCTTTCTACTCAATAGATTGCATGGTTTCAAGTTTCAAGCATTTTGCTGGAATGTATAAATTTTGTTAGGTTGTGTGGCCAAGGTAATCTGGCCAGAAAGCAAAATGTGCCAGGAAAGAAAAATTATCCTAGATATATGAATCTTAGGATTCAGTCATTGCTTAATTTAACAAGATCCAAAAAGATTATGTTCAATTGTGAATCTATAATTCACTGTTTTTATCTTTTTTTTTTTTTTTGCATGAATTGCATGATTTTATCTTATAGAAGCTGTTTTTCTGTTTTTTTCTTTAAGGTATATTTTTAGCTTTGACATCTGATTTGACGTGTAGATGCATAGCTGCATATGCTTCCTAGACAAACTGGTTCTGGCTGAACACTTACCCTTTAAGGTCCGACAAAATTGGACTCCTCCACTTCCATATATTGGTCATATTTGGTTTTGCAAAATAGTTGCTATTTAAACTACTTTTTCTAGGTTAACAGTACTATCGTGTCGGATGATGTCTCCAACCATCTTAGGCATGTCTTTCTCCAATGTATGCATGTTCTCTTCTCTTCTCTTGCCTTGTAACTATGTAATTGTTTATGGCTAGCTGATTATTCTTTAATATGTCCAAAATAAAGTATATGTTCTGTCCAGATATTATGTGGTTTATAACATGTGATGGGGGACTCGCTGCTGTTGTAATTAAAATGTTATGTTTTATTCTTAGTTTCTTTATTATTTTTCACAATATGCAATTGTTTCACTCGGTTCTCTTTCTTTTTTGTTCTATTGTTTGATGAGATCCTGAACTATAGAAGTATTTTCTACTTGCAGTCAGTTGAAGGTATGAAAGTTGTTTGTCATGAGTTGGCACAGGCTACAAGCGATGCAGAAGGTAGTGCGATGGATGAACTTGTGAAAGATGCAGATAGACTTGTTTCATGCTTGGCAAACAAGGTAACTACTGTTTCATGACAAAGGTTTTGTCTGATATCTTTTTCCTCGCATTTAGATGTGAACTGGCTTATCCTAATACCAGCTTCATCTGCGATCACTTTTTTCCTTGTTTCTCCCCCTGAACAGGTAGCAAGGACTTTTGACTTCAGTTTGACTGGAGCATCATCACGGTCTTGTAAATATGTCCTTAACACACTCATGCAGGTAAATTTTGCCAGTTATATTCTCACTAAATAACTTGTACTCTTTTTTTTTTTTTTTGCCCGAGTGTTCGGTATTCTGGGTGGTGGAAGAATGGGAGAGCCATGCAGTCTCAAAATGGTCCATTTCCTCGTTTTGTCTTCTCCACAACCCCATCCAGCATCTAGATCTATTTCTTGATAAAATATTAACTACGTGAACTTTCCTGCAGACATTTCAAAATAAAATAATTGCTCATGCTGTCAAAGAGAGCACTCTTGACAGTCTGATAACGGAGCTTTTACTTTGGCTTTTGGATGAAAGGGTCCCACATATGGATGATGGCAGCCAGCTCCTAAAAGCATTGAATGTGCTGATGCTTAAGATTCTGGTGAACATTTACTGGAGACATGCCTATTTCTTAGTTTGAAGATGTATATTATTGTTAACTGACCATCTGCTGTGCAGGATAATGCAGATCGAACTTCATCCTTTGTGGTACTGATTAATCTGTTGCGACCACTGGATCCCACAAGGTGGCCTTCACCTGCATCAACTGAGACCTTCGCTATCAGGAATCAGAAATTCTCTGACCTTGTTGTAAAATGCCTCATCAAACTCACAAAGGTAATGCTTTGATATTTCAGTCCTTGGTGCTTTTTTCCTTTCGACTTCATTTAGAATTGATTCTATTTATTACGTAGATTGTTCAAAATTGTGAGTGCATATGTAGAAGTCTAGTAATCCACTATCTATTTTGGTCAAAATGACGTATAAGTTGTCTTGAATGTGAAGTTATTAAGTTGGATGAATGCTACTTTGCCAACATAACTTAAATAATGCTGACCTAGCTTTTCATCATTTGGCTAGTGTTCACATTTTAAAGACATTCTGGGGTTCTTGTAGCTTTTCATTGTAGCAAAGAGTTTTGGATGAAATGCACTGATTTACCTGGGTTTGTCCCAATTGGTTGCTTCTGTTAGATCCAACCACTACCATTTCTGACATGGGATTTATTTTCAAAACATTTTCTGACATGGCAATAGAAGTCACACAATGAAAAAACTTTTCTGAAAACCTTCACACAATTGGTTGCATATGAGTTCTGAAAACCTTTTCTCTGGAAAGTTGTTTCTGATTTGGCCTTGTGGAAGCTTGATTAATTACATGGGAGCTAAAATCAGCTGATTTAAGTATGATTTACTGACTTATTGTTGGATGCAGAGAAAATGAAAGACCTTTTGGGCAGTAACATAAACTCTAATATCTACCTTAGTAGTTATAGACAAAGTTTCCCTTTCATTGGGTATCTAGCAGTGAATGGTTGAATAGTAATACCTTATTCTTGTTGTTTCTTTTGTTTTTCTATCATGTGAGTTATAAAATTTTTTGAGGTACTTGATTTGTGAAATTTGAATATGAAGCTAGAAGTTTAATTGCCAGAATTAAGCAAATTTGTATAAGAGAAATAGAATGGGAAAAAATGAGTGGATGATTTTTCAGCTAAGAATATTAGTTCTGTTGTTTTTTAAACCCACCCCCTTCCTCCTCCTCCTCCTTGTTATCCCTTTTCTTTTCCCAAAACTACTCATGTTCGTGGCGTGTGTGAGTTTCGGTCAGGAGGTAGTGGGTGAGAGCTAGCAGGCCAATTGTGAACTATATTAACATGTTGAAAGAGATTTCTGAAATAAATTCCATATCAAAATGGCAGCCACTGATTCTAATATGTTTTATCACTTTGTTTACATTTCCCAAAACTGGAGAAATTTTTAAGGAAAGAGTTCAATTTAGTAATTAAAATGAATGGATGAATTGCTTTGTTTGGTGCAATTAAGAACAGTTTAAACAATGTTTGAGTCTTTCATGCATCCCCTTATGTAGTTGATCAGTATTTTTATTCTTCGTAGACTGAAACAGGGTACCCCACTCTATTCTGGAATGTTATTCACCATCTGTGGAGTTGGGGAGGGTGATATCTTCCCTACGCTCTTCCAGTTGAAATTTCCCTAACAAAATATTTTTAGCATCTGTCATCCTTCACTCTTAGCAGGAGGATTGTGTATTCAACTGTTCAGCTTATTAACCATTGTTTATTATTGTTGGATTTGTCATAGATTAGTTTTTGTTACTCAGGTTCTTCAAAGCACTATATACGATGTTGATCTTGACCGTATCCTTCAGAGTATCCATGTTTACCTACAAGAATTGGGGATGGAAGAAATCAGGAGAAGGTATGTTTTATAGATCCCCCTTTTCCTTGTTGATGTCTGGTTCTTGTTAGATTGTGTCATTTCATTTCTTCAGAGCATCCATATTTACATTTAATTTTGGCCTCTTAACTTAATTGATATGACTTCTCTGTATGCGTTTTCTGAATTTATAAACAGAGCTGGAGCAGATGACAAGCCTTTGCGTATGGTGAAAACTGTTCTCCATGAACTTGTTAAGCTCCGTGGAGCTGCAATAAAGGGTCACCTGTCTATGGTTCCTATTGACATGAAACCTCAGCCAATTATTCTTGCCTACATTGATCTTAATCTTGAGGTATATAGTTAAGAAATGTACAGTACTGCATTTATTCAACTTGGTCATGTATTTACTCTTCCTGCTTGTTTATTTTTATTTTTTAGACGTTAGCTGCAGCAAGAATGTTGACCTCAACAGCCCCTGGGGGCCAAAATCATTGGGGTGATTCTGCAGCCAACAATTCATCACCTGCCACACATTCTGCTGAGGCTCAGTTGAAGGTATTAACTTCCCAGTTTAATCTCAAACGATTTGGCTGTCTGCAATTAATTAATTGAACTAGTTTAATTTGCATTTGTTCGCTCTCTTTACCCCTCTACATTTCTCAATAATACTTATTGCATTTTACCAGCAAGAACTTGCTGCCATATTCAAGAAAATTGGTGACAAGCAAACCTGCACCATTGGTCTATATGAGCTCTATCGCATCACTCAATTATATCCTAAGGCAAGTTGTTGATGTTCTGGTGTCTATTGGTAGAGTGATGGTATCTTTTCTGTTAACTAGATATTAGGTCCATAAGCTGCTTATTCATTTCAGTTTTTCCTTTTCCTTTTTCCAATACGTAGGTTGATATATTTGCTCAACTCCAAAATGCTAGTGAGGCATTTCGCACTTACATCAGAGATGGTCTAGCTCAGGTTTGCAATTTCTCTATTCTTTTCATCGTGTGTTGAAGTATCATACTTCATGTTGCCAACAAACATTGCTTTTATTGCAGATGGAGAAGAATACTGCTGCTGGAAGGACACCTTCTAGTTTACCAATGTCGACCCCCCACCATCAGCTCTAAATGTTTCTTCCCCTGATTTGCAACCTCTTTCCCCTGTGCATACAAACTCCTTAAATGATGCAAAACCGTTGCATGTTAAACCTGAAACAACAAATTTTCATCTACCTCCCTCGTATACTGAAGACCAAAGAAACGAGAAGCTTATCAGTGGAGGTAAATTCGCCATTGTTCTCTCTCTCTCAGACACTGTTTATTCTTGCTTGTTTTTATTGATCTAACCCAACGAGCTGATGTTGCAGTAACCAGTGGGACATTAGATGCAATTAGGGAAAGGATGAAGAGTATGCAGTTAGCTTCTGCTGCTGGGAATCCTGATTCAGGAAGTAGGCCATTGATGTCTATGAATGAGAATATAAATAATGGACTTTCTGGTCAGAATCCTCGTGCACCAGACTCTTCAGGTATGGAGAATCCTGTACATGGTGGGGTTCTTCCTATGGATGAGAAGGCATTGTCTGGGCTTCAAGCACGGATGGAGAGACTTAAAAGTGGATCTCTTGAATCTCTGTAGATAAGTTGAACGAGTTGAGCTGAGATTCTCTTCAGCATCATTTATTATGACCGAGTTATAAGATTCTGTTCGTGTGAATCGAAGGGGAGACCTATCGCAATTAAATTGGAGTTACTTCTGGTAGATTATTATCATATAGAGCTTGGTGTACATTGGCAAGCGGCAGGGAGTATAATCTCCCTAGTATTGGAATTTTGAAGCATCAATCTCCAGTCCGATGCGGACTGGTTTATTGTTTTCTAGGTTGCTTATGCTACAAGCATATGTATATTGTAGGTTGTGTTTTTTGGCAAATTTGTTTGATTTCCTTAATTCAACACAATTGTATACCTTTTTCGGAGATTTGTTGTATACAAATTATGGTTTGGAGCAGGAAAACATTGAAGTTGCATGTCAATATTAGATTCCAATTTTGCACAACTGTCAGTGATTTTTTTGTTTTTCTTTCGGTGAAGTATTGACCGTTATGTGCTTGTTTAACACTCAATTTGCGGATAATATTCTGAATGTCAACAGAGTTAAAATACTCAAATTGTTCCAAGCGGAGTCTCCCTTATTGAATAGATGGTTTATGTAGTGCAAAACGATCAATTAAGGTCTTGTTTAGTCTTGGTTTAAAATTATCCCGTATCAAGGGGGTGAAGCATGACGGAGTCTCCCTCATTGAATAGGTGTGTGTTTGGGTGATTGGGGGTGGGGTCTGGTTCTTGATAACTGATCTGGTATATTGATCCAAGGCATCGAGAAATTGACCAAACGATTGATTGATACATTGATATGTTGATCGGGAATTGATCAAATGATTGATTGATATATTGATTAAGATATAAAGAGTTAGTGTGTGATTTGTTGATGTATTGATTAAGGTACAAAGAATTAGTGTGATTTGCGGTAACAGTGGTTGATTAATTAAGTAGAATGTATACAAGTGAGAGGAAGAGGAGAGCAGGTAGCGTTAAGAAGATGGTAGTCAAATAGTAGGTAGGTTGGTGGGTAAAAGTTTTAAACGCATAGAGTTTTAGATGTTGTTTGGTATGCAACTAAGATAGTTAGGAGAATTCATAGGTTTTGTTAAGGATAAAAAAGTAAAAATTCTATTACAATGCCGTGAGATTGATATTATGGTGAATTGAAAATAACTACTCACACATTAATATTTATGGTGAATTGAGAATAGTCACTCTATATGTGGCTTTTTATCGATTATATAAAAATGTTTTTGGTAATTCATTTTGGTCTTTGCCTAACCATGTTATTTTTTTTTCAAAAAAATAATTGGCCAAGTTTATTGACTTCACAAGACATGTCGTGCTCATTGCTTCTTATTGTAATTAAATTTTTATTAAGTATAAGTGGTAATCTTACTTGACGGGTAGATAGTCCTCTAAGTGTCATGCCAAGTGTATTGTCATTTGTCAAAAATTTAGCTTAGTATAAGTGGAAACTTGATTGGCGGACAGGTAGCTCTTTAAACGTCATGCCGGATGCCCTATTACTTGCCAATCATTTGCCAAAAGTTTATCTAAGTATAAGTTGAGAACTTGCTTAACAAAAAGGTAGCCTCCCAAGTCCCATGTTAGACGCCTTGTCACTCTTTTGCAAAATATTTAGCTAAATATATTGGTTTTCTTCACTCATTTTTAGATTGGTCAAAATTTGATAGGAAAAAGCCCCAGTGTAAGAAAACACATCAACAAAAAATTCATGTTTGGCCAAAATAATGATCTTGTAAGATATGATTCTCAAGAAAAGTGCATATATGGATCAATCTCGGAGTTGTTAGGTTCTTGAACGTCATTATTTTGAGCAAATACTTAGAGATCCATTTTGATATGGACAAATCAATGTGGAGAGACAATCAATTTTTGATTGCTCATTAGCTCCTTCCTAAGTTTTCACTCCATCAAACAGAGGGCAAAAACTTATCTTGAGTGCTCAACTAATAATCATGAGATTGACTTTTTCTTTCTTTTACTAAGAATAATTTTCATGCTTATGGTTTGATTAGCACACAACTTGATTAGATAAAACATATCATTGCCATTAAAAATTATAACCAATGAAAAGCTAAAGACTTGGGTAGTGCATAGTTTAGCTAGATGGACATATGACGTTGTATTAAAAAAAGAGCTTGAAAAGCTCATGGCCTTACCGGTGTGTAGTTTACCTAGATAATCATGGTGTTGTCATAAAAAAAAACATGAAAAGCATATAGCTCGATCGGTGCATAGTTTGGTCGAAGGACCTAATGTTTCCATTAGAAAGAAAATCCGAGTATAAAAAGCTCGCGGCTTGGCCAATGCCTAGCCAACGTACAACTTGGATAGATGAACACGTTTGCTAAGAGTATGAAATTTGTCCGCGTTTGTATTTATATATATGTGTGTGTGTGTGCGTGCGCTAAGTAAATACATTAAAATGCTAAGTAAAGAGATTTTTTTTCTAAAACCATAAAAATTGAACTGTAAGATCAAACCGTTCCTCTATGTAACTTATCATTTTATTAGAAAGAAACATTCAAATTATAAGAGTTGAGAACAATTTCATAACATGTGGATTTGTTAATGTATATAAACTTTGATGTATGAATTCAACCGTTTAATATAGTCATTATGCCTTTTTCTCGTGCCACCCTTATAGGCGTATTTCTTTTTTAAGTCAATCTCAAGAGCCACTACTTTAGTTGAAATGATAGTTGATTTGCCAATCCTACTCTCGCTATTGGTTGTAAGCTTATCAAAGAATGATGCTTTCACAAAACAAAATTCATCACGATTAGAAGGCAACTTGACACAAGGAATGAAGATGTATAGATTCCGTTACGTTTTTACATAATGATGATTGAAGAAAGGAATCAAATCAAATTTATGAGGAAAGACCTCTTAATCAATAAGTGATAGGACACGAGAGCATCAATGACATGAAAATAAATAGAGCTTTGTATAGGTCCCATTTGAAAATCCATCGTAACATAGGCTCGAGTTCAAAAAGAAGCCTTGTTAAAGGCTTTAAAAGTAGTTGGTGTCCAATTATAGATCTCTCATCAATACATAAACCTTTCAAGATGGTAATTGGCATGAGATTCAAGTGAGGGCTTTACGAATAGGATAATTATTTACTTTATTTTCTATATAAAATGGATGGTTATGGTTGATCTTCTCTCCATAATAATCGGTATAAATGAAAATACATCATTCTCATGATTGTGGTAGTTGCTTTTTTGACTTTCTTATTGAAACCTAAGAGATCGATAAAATTGCAAAAAATTGGAGTCTTTGGTAAAGACCGTGTAAGGGGGCATCATTGTCATCTACCTCATATAGATAAGTTAAGGTATGGTTAGGAGCAACTTGATAGATTTTTATGTCAATTGTGTCTTTCTCCAACTTAATTCGGTCATGAGAGATGGCTTTCACATGGCTATTGTGATGATTTTGATGTTGTTACAAAGGATTTTCTTGCACATCATATTTATTATCAATGATGTTCCTTCTTTTATACAACTTATCATGAAATAAAAACCTCAAGCAATAACATTTTTCTATCTAATGCCCTATATATCTATAATAACGACAAGACTTAGGTTTTGCCTTGTCCATCCGGGATAGGAGTTGCTTTACTTATGGAAGGATAACAATTTGGTCAACCACCCAATGATCTAAAATAGCATATGCTATGTTCATGATGCAAGAAAAAGGTAGTGGTGGATTCATTTTCCAAAGTAGTGGTTCAACAATCCTTTTTGTTCTTATGTTAGGTTGCTTGTCTAGTTGGATGATGTTTACTAAAGAACACCTTTTGGTATAAATAACAAAAAAGATGACGTTGTTCCTTCTAGAAAAACAATGGAGTTGTTGGTTTGATGAGCGTTTTTTACTAAGGTAAAAAAAATGGTTAACCCTAAATTCTTAAGATGTATTATGTACTCCATATATATGTTTTGAATGCACAATTTGATAAATTCATGAGATGGTCATTTATATCTTTATTTTCCATTGAATACTTTAAATTTAGAACTCAAATAGTCTTTTGGATAAGACCTCATGACAATGTGGGTTGATAAAGAATGTTTAAGTTCAAACTCGCAAGTAGATTTTATCAACTTTCATTTGACGAACTTTTCTAAGTCCTTCTCAATAACATATTGGTTTTGATCACTAGAAGCATCAACATGATGAAGTTCGTTAGTGGTTGTACATAGTTATACTATAGGTGTTTGATGAAGCGATGTTTTTCCTTTCATTCACTTAAATATGTGGTATTGGATCATTTTCTACATTAATAGCTGGTGGCATAGCAATTTTAGGGATGATAATATAAGTCGAGTATCTTGAAAAATCCTCAAGACTTCACAGTAGTTTTAGGGATAATAATCTAAGTTACGTGTATGGTTCGGGAAGTAGTTGAGTGCTCGTTGTTGAGAGCTTAGAAAAATGCATCATTATTTTCCTAAAGGACTTTGAAGATCTAATATAGTTTTTGATGTAGTTTGAGCTAAGTATCTTAAAAAATTCTTAAGACTTGAGCATGGCTTGAAGGCCCGAATGTGTAACAACCATGATAGGGATTGAGTAATGGGTCAAAGTAGACCACCTTCCGATAGTGTTGGTAAGCTTTCACTTCCAATTTGAGGATTTTAAGGATTATTGTCATTCATAGTGTTAAATAGGTTGTTATTGTCGGTATTTTATTGGGATAAGTAGAGTATTATTAATATTGTAGGCGAGTTGAGCTAATTATAGGATTTGTATTCTTTTTAATGGTTTTGGAAGGGGCTATTATTCTTTTACAATTAGTAACTTTCAGTGGAGTTACCAAAATATATGGAGTTCTTGAGAACCAATCAAGATATAAAGAGTTAGTATTGTGAGGGGCAATAATCAACCAACTACGTAGAATAGATATAAGTAGTGAGAGGCATGGGTGTTTGGTGTAAGAAATAGTTAAGTGATGTTGTTGACGAGCTTAGGTGAATGCATCATTATGGTTCTAATGGACCT